CGAAAGCGACTCTCGGAATCAGTGCCATGTATCGGCGTGTCATAGTTGCATGCGTGTTTGCCTCGCCCCCAGGCGGTGGCATAATCAACCACCGTGCGGGGGATGGGGGATGGACTCCCCCCCCCCTCTTTTTTATGTCTCCCGATCTGCACGGATCCTGCGACATCCTGCGCGCCGCTTGCGCAAGATTCCCAGAAAAACACAGACGCGAAACGCGGCGTGCGCGCTGCGCGGTCACGGAGGCACACTGGCAGAGCGCGCGGTGGTGTGCGTGGCGCGTTGTTCGCTCTTCGAGGCCAAGATGGTCGGGTGTGACAAGAGACGAAACTTGCTTCAGGTACACGGCCCACTCCACCAAGACACCGAGTGAGGAAAGGGGGGGGGGTGAATGCGATAAGGGTAGCGCAACCCTCTTGCCCCCTCCCCTCTCTTTCCCTCTTATTAGAGTGGAGGGGTCCTTGTTTTGGATGTGGAGCGAGGAGGCCAGGGCGTCCTCCCGTGACAGCGCGGGGCCCGACGAGGCTCACGAGGCTCGACACCCTGACCAGGAAGCGCTCGGTGTACCAAACAGAAAGATTACCCTGACCCCATCCCGCATTCAACCCGCGGGCATGTGCACTGCAAGGCCGGGTGCATCTTGCAATCTTGCACCGCGAGGATCGCAACCCCCCAGCGGCCCGATACAGCGCTTTGGTTGCTCTGTGTCTCTCGCACTCGTTGGACGTGCCGAAGGGGTGCGACGGAGACAGAGCACCGTTCGCACGACCTTCGCCCTCATCCCCTCATTTGTAGTGAATCGCGGCCCCCTCCTCCTTTGGCCCGCCGAGGCTCCGCTTCACGCCACTGTATCTCACCGGCGGCGCTTTTAGGGGAGCGCGGCTTTGCATCCGACTTTGTCCCCGTCCGCGGTGAGTCTGTTGCAATCTTTTATCTGCCTCATTTTTCTACTTTGAAATAATGGCGGTCCTGTAAATTTTTTGAGTGAGCGTCTCTTTAGACTTTCACCGGTCGCAACCTGGGTCGGGGAGTCTGGGTTCAAACACCCATATTATTTTTATATTTTGAAGTTTTACGAAACATTTTATTATTATTTTTTTTTTAGGGGGCGGTGAGTCGCTCTGTTTCGAGTTCCGCGCCGCCTTTTCGGCCGAACGGTGCCGCGGTTGACGAAACGCGCCCCGCGGCGGTGGCTGTCGAAACCAAGGGGAGGTTTGTCTTTCATAATACGTCCAGAAAAAAATGAAAAAGCAAATCTAAAGAAGGAGGCGCGGCGATGGTGGGTAATCGGCACAGCTTCACGCGATGAGGACGACGACGAGGTAGAGGAGGAAAAGGAGGAGGAGGAGGAGGGAGATCCGATGTGAATAAGATCAGTAGAGTAACAATGAGGTCTGGAGGGGTGTGCAGCGAAATGCATCGCAATGCAACGCAGTGCTGCCAACCCAGCAGACTGATTCTGATAGTCGTTTTCGTCGCTCTGTCTCTCTCGCACCCACACGGGACGCCCCATGAGTGCGAGAGAGACAGAGCGACGAAGCGCCGCGTTGGGAAAGAGACTGCAGGAGAAAAACACACCCACGCGCGAGTCCACGATCTTTTTAACCCGTTTTCCTCTAGTTTAATTCAAGTTAATGTGAGGTTGATTAAGGTGAGATTCCTCGCCGCGACCAGGTAGACTCGGGGACGACACCACATGAGAACTTGAAATGAGCCACAGTAACAGACCTTCGCCGTGTGTAGCAGAGCGAGAGAGGGAGAGCGAGAGAAACCACCAGAATTGGAGTGAGTTGGTGAGATGCCGGTGTTGTGTTCGGGGTCGCGGCGGTCCTCCCCACTCAGGTGGGGCGACAGCTCCACCCTTCCCCCCAAGATGCGTGCACCATGCACCAGGCCCAATCCGAACTCGTCGCTCTGTCTCCCTCGCACCACGGGGCCTTCCGCGGGGGTGCGAGAGAGACAGAGCGCTGCCATTGTCATGCATATGGGCCGGACGAGTAGACGCACACGGGAAGCAAGTGGCTCCTCTTTTCCCATTGCAGCAGCGCCGTTCCGAACAACGCCGTCGTCGCTCTGTCTCTCTCGCACGCGTTGGGCGTGCCGCTGCGGTGCGAGAGAGACAGAGCGACGGAAGGTTCGGAATGGCACTGAGCCATTGCCGCCGAGGGTCGCGGCACAGCGGCGGGTCGAGCGCGGCGAGGCGATGCATGCACACTGTTCACGCGGTTCACGCGAACCGAGACGAGACGAAGGCCGGTAACTGCGCGCGCCGTCGGTGGAAGTTGCCGGCCTCTTCCAACAGCCGAGGGAGAGGCGAGACGGACACTTCTCAGTACCGTAAGCTGTCCAAAACAATCAGGCTAGATCGGAATTCAAGGGTCAGCGGTAAAGCTCCGCGAACTGTCTCATTTGCACCCCTGTTTCACGCCCCATGAGTGCAAGAGAGACAGAGCGAACCGTGCTAATTTACCCACCGCATCGTCAGCGGGCTACCTTGCCATGTTGACTTCCTTTTGTTTGCAAAGCCGCCGATTCGCCGAGAAGACGACTGTTTTATGACCATCGAAAAAAGGGACCAAGGTCGGGGCACTGAGCGAAGAAAGCGACGATTAGGTTTTTACGGTGGTGTGCGAAGGGCCCGCCATATAACAAACCAACAAGCCGGAAAGTGGACAAAGTGGCGGCAAGTGACTCCATTCACCGCCGTCTCGCCGCCATCAGTGGCTGCTGTAATCCGTGGAGCCGTGCAATTCGAGGCGGCGTCGGCAAACAATTAAACACTGTTCCGTCATTCCGTGTTTCCATTTAAATCAAACGTCTTTTTAGTATGGCGATCTCCGTGGAGGTGCTACTGGCGCCTTTGCGGGACAGATAAAAGTCAGGTTGGCTCACCTGCCGGCCCTGCCAGTGCTCAGCCCGGCTCAGCCCAGCGAGGCGGAGACACAGGCGCGTCATGTGTCGTAAAGATAATGAAGCTGGGCGCTGATTTCGGAGAGTCGCTCTGTCTCTCTCGCACTCGCGGGGCCGGTGGGGCGTTCCGTCGGGGTGCGAGCGAGACAGCGTGGCACTGCTCTGTCTCCGACACGCCGGTCAGTCAGTCGGAGGCCATTCATGTGACACAAATCGGCAGGACGAATTAGGCGATGATGTGAGTCGCACCGTCGCTCTGTCTCTGTCGCACTCGTGGGGTTCTCCGTGAGGGTGCGAGAGAGGCAGAGCGACAAGCCGATCTTCTAAATCGGTCGGCTGGCCGCCGTCTCAGCCCCCACCATCGGCGTGCCCTCCACCTCCTGCTCCGGCGCGCGCCCCGCCACCGCCACCCTGGCACGCGCCAAGACCGTCATCGGCTTGGACAGGGGGCTCTCCTCGGCCTGTCTCCCTCGCACCCTGTCGGCACGCCCGAGCAGTGCGAGAGAGACACCTCCCGCCCGGAATCAGTCTGCCGCCACTGCCGCCCCCGGTCGTCGGTCTCCGTCACTCTCATTGACGGCATCGGGGGAGAAGGAGACAGACGCCGTCAACACAGCGGACTGATTCCGAGAGTCGTCGCTCTGTCTCTCTCGCACTCATGGGGCGTCCCGTACGGGTGCGAGAGAGACAGAGCGACGAAAACGACTCTCGGAATGAGTGTGCAGTGTGAAGCCGGCTGCACGCGCCAGGCCGGCCGGGGCCCGAAAGCCCGAGAGCTGCCCCTGCATGCCCTGCACCTGCAGGCTGATTCCGAGAGTCGTTTTCGTCGCTCCGTCTCTCTCGCACTCATGGGGCGTGCCGAATAGGTGCGAGAGAGACGGAGCGACGAAAACGACTCTCGGAATCTGCCTGCTGGACGGCTGGAGCACGGCTGGAGTGGGGTTGGCCAGGTTGGCCCGGTGCAGGCGGGGCCCGGCGTAGACCGGCGGGGGCACGTTCCTAATGCAGTGTCGCCGAAGGACCCACAAAGAGCCGCGGGAAAATGATTGAGCCGTTTCGAAGGCGAGGCGCCCATTTTTTCTAGTGTGTCGCCGGGGACAAGTCGCACTCGAGCCAAACCGGGCCAATTATGCGATGACGCAGGCGGTTTGCCGAAAACTTGCGCTTGCGCCCTTGAGCTTATCGACGACAGAGAGAGAGAGAGAGTGAGAGAGACAGACTCGACGAGCGTCGGGGCGGCTCGGCACGTGCGCAGGCCTCGGCGCCATGCTGCCGGCCGTGCGAAACAGGAGCAGACCGAGGCCCGACTACTTCGGGCTGCTCGTGTGTTCGCTGCACCGCTGCAGACTTTCAGCCCCAACGCCCTGTCGACCAGGCGCACCGCTTAGGCACGGCCCCCGGCCCCCTCCGGTCCGCGAAGGGAGCAGCTGGTTCAGCAGCTGGCGAGCGTGGCGCGGGAGGGGGCAGCGAAAGACCCCCCCCCTCCCCCTCCCCGAGCCGCACCCCTCCCCCTCCCCTCTGGAAACGCATCTTATCAACTCCCCCGCCAAATGCGCCATGCGTGGCCATGCGCCCTCGCCGCCCTCGTTGCATTTGTTTGATTGATCGCATCGCGCGTGGTGTGGTCAGGTGCGAGTGTAGGGCCTTGTGTCCGTGGACGCTGCAGCGCGGTGGCCGCGGGGAAGTGCCGGTGTCCTTGCCGCCCTGGAGGAGCGTCCTGGAGTAACGCCCCTGCCTAGAGGGAGATCCTGGAGGATAGCATCGCCACTGCACTGCATTTTGCCTTCCATTCTGATCCTTGCTCCAGCGGCGACGGCGGCGCAGATCAAGCCAGACACCACACTGTGAGGCACGCACGCGCCACGCACTGCCACTCCCTTCCCTTCTTCCCGACGCGTCCTGTTCCCGTCCCGGCGGTTCCCGGTTCCCGTCAGGACTCCTTTCCCTCCTCCCTCCTTGCCTCCCTCAGTCGCTGCCAACCTTTGGACATGGATACAGGCCTCGCCCGACGCGCCGCCGCCGCCTCTAGAGCGCCGCCGCCGCCGCCCGCGTCCGCGACCGCCGCGAAGCCGAAGCCGTGAAAGTTGTTTACGTTCGGCGTGCCCTGCCGCTGCCGCCCGTCCCGTGCCTTGCCCTTGGCCCATCAGCGCTGTCGCGTGTCGTACGGCCCGCGCCGTGTCCGCTCCGCGTCGTGTCGCAGACACGTCCCGTGTGTGATGAGTGACTTGTGTCCGCGCGCTTGTTCCAGTGACCCTCAAGACTTGTTTTTATTTATTTGTGTGCGCGCCGTGCCGCGCTGTCCGCCGCCGCCTATGCTGCGCGGCTGCTCGGCCTGAAGGCTGAAGAAGGAGAAGGAGCGCTTGCTTGTCAAGCGAAAACCAGCGGGGCGACCTCACAGTGGTGATGGATTCTGTTTGAGTGGCCGCTGCACCAGTGTACAAAATATTTTTAAGTTTTTAGTGTATGAAAACCATGGAAGAGATGGGAGACCAGGTTTACGCGGCCGAGCGGATTATGAAGAAGCGGACGAGACGGGTATGTTGGTCCTAGTTCTGGAGGCTTCGTTGTAGCCTACTTTTTCTGGTTCTCTTTTTCAAGTTCAGTCAAATTTCTGGGCAGCCGGCCGCCGAAATTGTTTAACGCGGCCGCTGCCTTTGGACCCTGTAATTTATACCCTGGTCGTTACAGTGAGCTCGCTCGTGCACGGCTTTGGTTTGTTTTGTGAGGTTATGAGGCCCTTGATTTGAGAGTCTGCAGCAGTCTGCAGAAGCAGTTCGTTTCCAAACTTAAAGTGAACTGCTTCGTTTCTCTTTTTACCTAAAGATAATAAATTAATTTAGGTGGCAGGTTTTCATAATTCCGAAGTGAATTTTCTTCACCTGTGCATAAATGAGGTTCCATTAAACTGTCAAAAGAAGTGCTTTAACTATGACATAACATTGTTTATATTTGATTCCTTGGCAGATCATTAATTCTGCTTCTCACATTTTATTTTACACAACACGGAGCTTTTCCAAAAAATTATAATTGTTTCCTGGGTTGTAATACTTCTATTTTATAAGTCCTTCTTCAATTGAATAGTCAAATATCTTTGTAAAATCACAGGCTTTTGACATCGCGTATTCTGCTGTATACTTACGTTTCACTAACAATTAGCTTTCTGTTTTCTCCCCTGTACAAGTATTCTAATTTCTTGTTTTGTTTTGTAAATTTTTTCCAGGGAAAAGCAGAGTATCTAGTTAAATGGAAAGGATGGAGTCAAAAGTATGTCATTTACTTTTTGTACTTACTGACTTTGCAAATGTACAATATCTTGATATTAATGTTTTCTTTACGTTAATTCTTTTTAGACACAATACCTGGGAACCTGAGGAAAATATACTGGATGGGCGTTTGATTGACAGTTTTGAAGAAAGGTGTGTGTATATAGAGCTACTTTACATTAGTTCTGATGTTTTCATTGCTGAACTTATTCATTGTTACTATCGTTGTACTGCAAGCTATACTTTACCTATCAATCTTGTCTTTTCAGTGAAGCAAAACGGGGAGATTCTCATGTTAAACGAGGACCAAAGAAGAAGGATTCTACCAAAGCAAGTGTATTAATTATTATTTTGACACCTATCTTAATCTTTTCATACTTGCATCCATTTAATATCTTGAACATCAATTCTTGTATTTTTAGGAGAGGAGAAGTACTAGAGATGACCCCGATGATACAGTTGGTGAAGAGAGCCAAGATGAAGAGTCCTCCAACAGTACCAATACAAGTACCAGTCAAAACGTGTCAAAGCCTCGAACAACAATCAATTCTACAGCCTCAAATGCTCCAGTTTTTATACCCACTAGCTCCCCTTCTGTCAATTCCTCAACAACTTCATCTAATAACGCCAAATCCAAAGAAGGGAAGAAGGACGAAGATGCGAGTGAGAGAGTAACTTCTGATACAAAACCACGTAAGTATTGGTGTTCTGCAAAGTCAAGGCTCTTATGTAATGGTGTCCAAAGATGTGGTCAAATTCAATTAATAAAAATTCTGTTTAATTTTTTACAGCGGTTTCTACGACCTTACCTCTAACTACAGCAACAGCAACCACCACAACCACCACCACTACTACGAATAAAACTGTTCCGAAATCGGAGTCTGATCTTCCCACCGGGGAATCTTCCCCAGTTGATACTGATAAAAAGGCTGTTGATGTTGTTACCAAGAAGGAAGAGAAAGAAAAGGAGACAGAAGCAGAATCAGAAAAGGAAAAAGACAAGGATCAAGGCACTAAAAGGAAAGCAGAAGTCTTATCAAAAGAATCTGGCAAAATTGGTGTTACAATAACAACAAGCAGCCCAACTTCTGCTGCAAGCCCTCCCCCCGTTAAGCAGCCCAAACTACAGAGCACTCCTATTCCAGCTAATGAAACATCAACAACTCCCTCCCCAACTGTAAGTGCTCTCATATTTTTGTTCATTATAATAATTGATGTGCTAATAACATATTTTGGTGGAAATGTACTGCTTTTGAGTTTATTTCATAATTTTATGTTTTACCTTCCAGTCTGCTGTAAAACCTGTTACACCACGGAGACCCTCTAGTGATGTTCCTGCTGCATCAGTTAATAGCACTGCGAGACCACCCTCAAGTCCACAATTGAGGCCTCCAACATCTGCCTCAAGCACCAAGACCCCAACTACCCCACAACCTCCTCCATCAAATTTGACTGTTCCTGTATGTAAAAAGATTGCTTTGAGTCTTATTTTCTTTCAGTCTTTTCCTTTCATACTTAGCTAATGATCGTGTTGCTGTATTTCAGGTGAAAAATCCTTGCCCCTCTCCTCGCTTGCCGGACCCACCAGCCTCTGATAACTTGAGTCAAACCAGTACAGTGCAGCTTACATGCACAATTGCACCAAATCAACCAAGAACTGAAGATGCGTCACCACCTCTTCTAAATGGCCTTAACAACAATAATGTTAGTAAACACAACAATAACAACAACAATAATAACAACAACTTGTCAGATGAAGATGAAAAATTACATCCACCTCATCTTGTTAGTCAAGTTGTTGCCACAAGCCCTGAATATTGGCTGAATCGCAATCCTGTGGCTGATCAAGTTGTCATAACAGATGTAACTGTTAATCTTTCTACGGTGACAATTCGTGAGTGCAAGACTGAAAAGGGCTTTTTCAAAGTTCGTGGTTCAGATCATGGTAAACAAGGTGGTGTCATATGACTGACAAGTGGTTTTCTGCACAATGTGTATTTTTACCAGTGACATTTAAGACTACATTTACCTAATGTTTAGGTAAATTAATGCTCCCTCATTAATGAAGCAATCGCTACATTAGTAAAAAAATAGTTCAAAACTCCCTATTTAGTTCTGTGTTTCTTACCTGTAATTTTTATGAAGAACATCATTCCCTGTATATCTGTTGTTATGCAGTTAAATGCGTGTTTGAACCCAAATGAAGACTTGTGCTTAAGAGTTTATTTTCATTGTACTTTTTTTGTGTATAGCAATAATAATTTTATTCAGGGTGCAATTAAATTTTTATTCTTTATGTTACATGCTGGAAAACTGATAATATTGCTTCACTTCTCTAAGCAATTCTATCAGAATCCTGTCTCATGGAGTTCTATCTCTTTGAAAAGGAACCAAAGCAAAAGTGTACATATATCTTGTTGTAATACTATTGTATATGAGTGTTGTAAATTCTGTATAGGTGTGGTAATCCAAATTTGCTTAAAATGGTAGCCCACATGAAGATTATATTTATTTGAATCTCTAGTGATAATAAGTTTTATAACCTGCTATTTAATTAACTTGCTTTCATTGGTGGAGCAGAATATCTTATATCTATCTTGTTCTTATTTATTTATTATTTATGATCTGTCTGGAACAGATATGGCAGGTACAAACCTGTGCTGTCCTACAGTTGAATGAATATGTTGCACTGTGATCTGTCCACGCTTTCCTTTCATTCATTTTCAGAAACCATTAAGTTCACGTTTTATGGAACTGCTGTCCTTATTTTAATTCCTCTTTTTACCAATAAGTTTGGTATTTTTGTAGAAAGTACCTTTGTTTTTACCTAATGTCGCTATCCAAAAATTGTCATTTAAAAAATTTAGAGCGTAGGTCAATTGACAGGAATCCTTGTGACCTACCTATGACTGTTTTCTCTGAATCTTTGAAGACTGTATTTTGATATGGATATGAGTAATCCTTGACTTGACAAAAAATGTTCGTTACTTTTATAATGACTGTTCCCCATGACCACACTCTTTTCGTGTGAACTTAGTCTTCACATCCCTTTCCCAAAAATGTGACCAGCTTAGTTCAATCAATATTCACACTCCCTTGTGGCAATTGGTTTTTTTCCATGTCAAAATGTTGTTTGTCTTGAGATTTGCTGTGTTAGAGCTTGCTTTTGAACATTAGGTTGATGAGTAAGTTTTGTGAAAAATGTGTTTGTGTGCATTCTAACACCCTCTCTGCAAGAGCATCTTACATGCTTTTCATGTGGACAGAAAACAATTAATTTACTTTTGATTTCTCACAACACTTCCAATGATTGTGCTATATGAACGTACTATTTTAATGGTAGGAGTAGTATTACCGTACTTTCATTAGCTGTTAAAGAAAGCACTCTCATTGTTAATGTTGTTACTAAGTTCTTGATTATTATTGTTATATGAATAATGTAAGGTTCAGGGTGTCTGATATGGGCAAGCTGTTTGTTTGTTGTTTTTTTTTTTTTAATTCCTATTTAGTTTCTCTTGCCTAGCCTCACCTACCACCACCACCATGCCAGGCAAGGTGGTGATATAGTGGTGTTTTCATTCATAATTTGTGTTGAAAATTTTACCCCCCCAAAATAGAACAGAAGTTCTACACCTTGTAAGTTGTGATAATGAAACAGGACTAGCAGTTTGTTGTTTTACATGTGAAGTTTCTTATCTCTTACTTTCTTTTAAAAAGAAACTAAGAGTTGGCTTTAGTTACACAGGTTGAATGACTGTTCTTTTATATTTGTTATCCCTTTCTTTTATTGTTTGTCTGTATCTTCCTGTTCTGTCATCTTCAATTTCTGTACATACAACTATGGCTCTTCCCTTTCTTAGAGCTAATGATTTGTAGTGCGGTATTCCCAGGGTTGTCACACTTTTGTGACTTCATACTTCATATTTCCCCGATAATTTAAGGTTTTCTGTTACCAGATGCATGGCAACCCTGATTCTGTGTGAAATTTAGTGCATTGTTAAAACAACACTAGCAACATGTTGATGTTAAAAGTTCATTGTTCCAAGACTGTTGGAATATATCTATTTTGTTTTGGCTGTAAGCCATAAATTATAGAGGCATAAGCCTCTTACATGTTAATTGGTGCCAAAATTTTTCACACACCCCTGTGTATTTCCCTGGTCTCTGTTAAATTCCCAAGAGGGATTCCTATGCATCTTTCTTTTTTTAGTATTGTGGAATGCGTGCCTTAATAGTAGAAAGATTTCTGAATTTTAGCAGGCAATGAGTAATTTTAGTCGGGTGCTTCAGAGAAAGTAGGACAGTGCTTTTCATAGGAAGTGTGAATTGTCTGGTACCTAGGAACTAGGGGACATCTTCTGTAAATAAAGTAATGCAGAGTATTTCTACATATGTAAAGGTTCTTTTGAGATTCCGATTGTATTTATATATTGTGTGTTACACATGTTGTATGAAAGGCAGAGACAATTAAATGGCCTGTAGAGGCAGAATTCCAAAATTAAGAATCATATAAGTTTCTTTTAATTGTCTTTTCAGGCTTGAAACCTCACACAAGCCTTCAATTTGACCTGAATGTCATGAATACAGCATTTTAAAAAAAAATCAAAGGTCATATTAAAAATACTGATCAGAAATTAAAAGGTACAAAACACAATTTGACATGGATTATCTTCATTTGCTTGGTATTCTGTAACCTCACTGACACCGGAAGTAGGGTGGTTTCCATAGGACAAACATACACTGGGAATGCATAACAGTACTGTACTCAAGTCAGAACCATTTCCTAGATCGCATAGTTACCATAGAAAACAAACTATCCAAGTTAGAGGAATCATTTTTTGGAAGACACATGGTACATGCTTGCTTCAGTATGAAGGAAAAGGTGTGAGCATAAGAAAAACACCCTAGTTAAGTTACAGTTGTGCGATTGGAACAAGCAGCACACATACAGTGACACAAAACTATGCCAAGCTTAAAATGTACGAAGTAAACCATTTAAACTACCATTCAAAAATTTCCCATGTATAAAATGAAAGGCCCACTTGCATTGTGATGTACCCAAGTCGGCGCATTAAAAAAATATGAAAAAAAGAGAAAACAAATTAGAAACAAAAAAGGAAGGATGGATTTGTTAATCTCAAACCTACAAAAGTAACAACATAAGTTGCTTACAATTAAAAATGGCACTGATTTTCACAGCATATATCTTTCTCACAAATTCATTAGGAATATAGAAAATATTTGAATAGATAAGATTCTCAACAATCATAATGATAACATTATTTCAACACCATTCAATATTCAATCACTATAAAACTAAGAATACAACTGGTATCACATAAACAACTGCCACTATGAAGGTAATGATTGGAAGGCACATAACATATCACAGCAATACACAATATGCGCCCTGAGATTACTATCAAGACACAAAGTTGAAGTATAATAAATGAGAAAAAGTACACAACTTTTTCCTCTATTTTTACCCATTAGAGTGGTGACATGGAGCGGATCATTAAACATTTCAAAATCTCAAGTCAGCTGAATTTTTAGATGGTAGGTGAAGGTGGGTTATCGTTGAGGCTCTGAGTTCTTTCAAATCTTCGTTTCTGAATCTTGGCAATTTCTTCAGAGATATTAGTACGTTTTCCAAAGTAGTTAGAAATTGGAATCCCAGTCAGGGCTGATGCCAAAAACTGCTGCTTTGTTATTACCCATTCAGGGTCTACAGCATTGCCAGAAGATGCTTTTGCTTCATTGTTGATATTGCCATTGGGGTCTTCTATCTGCAAAGAAAAAAAAAAACTTTCAAGATGCTGCAAGATTTTTTCTTACAAAATAAGTAAAAGCCGAAATATGTTGACTGGCTATACCTTTAATTCTGAGGAGTCTGCAGTAGATGCACAAGCTGAAGCCAAACTATCGCATGAACCATCTCTGTCAGCCAAAAATCGTTTGCCAACATTTCCCAACTGTAGAAGCAAAGTACCGATGGTAGCAATAGAATGGAAAGTTTCTTGGTCTTCAGGCTCTGTCAAGAAAATATCATGCAAAGTTTTCCACAGTGCAATGAAATGTGGTTGGGACATTGGTGGGAAACTTTTGATGCGTGTTTCCCTTTCTTCCATCAACATTCTCAAGCTGCCAATACCTCGAACTTCCCATGGTTTGTCACCTAGAAATGTGACAACAGATTCTTGATGTGAGTAGGAAATTCAGAATGATCCAAATTTACTTTACTATGTAACTAGTATTACCTGGAAATGATGCTCCACTAGACACAGATGTGGACCTACGCATTGTACCCTCAGCAGCATTGGTCTGAGAATCGTTAAGTAATGAATTCATAGCTTGCTCTAAGCTTTCAACACTTTCTTCAATTTCGTCAAAAAAGTCTGTGGCTTCAGAGGCCACTTCAGGTCCACTAGCATCTGAAACAAAAGCATTCATTTACTAAAACCTGAGGGTTGGCGTAGAACAAATTTAAATAAATGATAAGACATTTTAAACTGGTACTGACCAGATATTCCAGGAGATTGAATATCACTTGCTGACAATAATGGAGGTAAATGCAACACGTACAACAATGTCAATCTTTGAGCCACATCCGCTGTACATGTGAGGCCTAAAGCTATTGTTACCTCTCGGAAATTTAGGTAGGAGTCACCGTTACTATCAAACAGCTGTTATCAAACAAGGAAGTTAAAGTTATTGGTTGAAAGTCAAATATACATACAGGAGCAGGGCAACTTGAATATTCTTACCTGGAAAAGACGTGCGGCTAATGATTCAGATTGCACACCTTTTCCCCATGGAGATAATCCCATGAAGATAATTTTGAAAAGGTCAAAATCAACTTGGAAATTCTCATAGGGAAGAAGAGCAGGATCATAGCGTTCCCCGATGCGTGGTTGTTTTAGCAATTCATCTCGTACAAAACCCAACAGGTCCTTTGAAAAACACAAATCTCAGTTGCCAATATTCAATTTAAAAAAAAAAAAAAAAAAAAATACTGGTTATATGAAGCAGAAAATTTAACTTACATGCAGCTCTTGGTTTGTGAAATACCCATCTCCAATAACACTGCGAACTACATTTTTCTCTTCTCCTTCTTCTAGCTGCTGAACAACTCGCACACGATGCTTGAATCGCAATCTTTCTAATGTAGTTGCTGTCAAATCACCAAATTTAGTATATGCATCCCGTAAAAGTTGCTGGATGGAAATGCTCTGTTCAAAGCAAAAGAAATAATTAAGTCTTTCAAATTTATGAGGCAACCACCTTTGCACTGTTCATTCACTATGCTGACCTTTTGCTTGTTTTCCCAGTTCTTGTTGCGTAGAGCACCTTGTCCTTCTTCATTCCAAATGCCTTCCAAATAATCAGAAAGCAGTTGAGTAGCTTCACCATCATCTCTACAACTCAAAATTTTCTCTTGATTGTCAGATAGTATAGCAAGAGCCACCTACACCAGAAGAAAAACATAGCAAGGCATTACAAATTAACGTCAAGTATACTCAATCAATTTCAAGTATGCTTTTTGTTGGGACATTCTGTTTTGTACCTGAAAAATAACTTTGGCACCATCATAGAAAAAGCAATCAATGATATTGACAGCACTTTCATACGGCATTACACTGAAACAATACACAATTAAAATTCACAAAAGGAACTAGAATGAGAGGTACAGCACTAACATTTCTTTATAGATGGGTAATTTACCTCATAAAGATAGTAAGGAACCAAGACAAAGATATCATTTTTATCATTCCAAGTTGTTGAATGCGAGAGTGCAGATGTGGCAGATATTTTCCTGTGAGGTCATCTAACACTCCTTGATCCATGAGTGCACCGACTACTTTTTTGTTGTAATAGTCAGGCAAAAGATTTTCACAAATTGTTGCTAGTAACCAAAATGCTTCTTCCTCTTTGCAATAAATCAGCAAAACAGATCCTACAATGTTCATTGCTTGGCAATATCCTAAACATAAAATTATCAAAAATGTTAATATAATTAAAGTATAGAAGACGCGCAAACTTCAGGTGAAAATATTTACCAATTTGAGGATTTCTGAAGGCATAAGCTGAAAGTACCCGACGCAATGCACTAATTCCCACTTCAGATTGGAATGCCTGGTGCTCAGGTAAAGATCTATGTAAGTCTCTTTCAATTTCGTCATTTGCAGTGCATTGCTTTCCTATGGCCATGTCAACAAGAGCTCGGTAGCGGCCTGGATTTGTCTCTTGTTCATTTATTGCTCCTGAGAAAACAAAAAAAGCCATCAGGACCTCACATCTGATCAAACCACCGACCACTAAGCCAAAACACCATAAAATTCTCAGCTTACCAGAGAAGTTAAGCCAGATCTCACGGCGCAATGTGTCAGGAATGCCTTGAAGTACCAGTTTACTTATCTCTGCAGTCCTGTACATCGAAATTCCTCTCCCATATTGACCAAAGTGCAACTCCCATTGAATGAATTTTTCCTGTTGCTTGTATTCAACACCTTCATCAACTGGTGTCTTAAACAAAGTCATCAACGGAGGGGTTGGAGTCCAGTCTGGAAGAGGTTAAATATTGTTTAAAAGGTGCTTATTTTGAGGAATAATAATGTTTTTACAGTCCCAAACCTACCATCTTTCACATGCCCACTAGTTCTTCTAAGTTTTGATACAGCATGTCTGCCAAAATGATGTACGTATTATAAACAAATAAATCATAAATTTAAATTTAAAAAAAAAAAAAATACTTTGAATGATACTTTTTATACTGCTCTTACCCTTTGGCTGCCCCAACTTTTGCTAGGAGCTCTGATATTTTCATGACCACAAAGTCTCTGTCTTGTAGTTGAGCAAACACGAAAGTGACGTCACCTTTCAATGTGAATAATACAGCCTTCGTCATATTGGGACTGGATTGGTTGATGGGCTCCACCGAATTGACATCTCGCAGAGGAATCACCACACTCACAACGCCTCTCGTCTAATGAAAATTAGGAAAACTTTAGCAATCATGTGTGGATATATGATAATATGATGGTCAAATTTCCAGCACCATTTTTATCCTTACTTTACTTTCAAAACAGAGGTAACTTTGAGAGAAGAACATCTTCCCCCACACTGCTTTTTTATTGTAGGGTGTCCAAAGGGTTGCCTCTGTGCGGCCATCCAGCTTCTCAGTTGATGGAAGGTGAAAAGCAAGACGGTAAGCTTCTGAGAGAGCTCTTGCATCCAGATCTCTTTTAAGAAATGACGGCTTCTTTGGCACATTTTTGCTGAAAAGGCAGACACAGCAGGGTTACACCTACATTATTCCAGTAACAGTAATTTTTCCACTAGGAAGTCTAGTAATGTATACCTGAGTTTGGTTAATAGATCTTTGTCTTCATCAAATCCACTCTTATCATCAATTAACCTGGAATGAAACCATATGAAGACCATGCACTTGCCACAAAGCCAACAATTTAGACTGGAGACAAAAATTGTACTTGGATCATTTACCTTTTCATAGCATAGTTGATGAGTTGTTGCATAAGATTAAAAGTCTCTTGCATGTGGAGAAACATGGAAAAAAAATGCTTTGGAAAAAAAAATTAAGTTAAGTTAAAAGTGAATGCAAATGCACCACAGACATATCAGATATAGAAAATGCATTCACCTCCTTTTCTTCCCTTGTTACAAGACAAATTGAGTCAGGAAACAGAAGTTGATTTGTTTTCCGGACATCCTTTATGTCTGACCAACGAATTACCAGACTTGTCTCTTTTCCCAGTATGTAGGAATAAAAGCAACAATGATTAACTGATAAGTACATCCAGCCTTGTCTCGGAAGCCTTCCCTTAAAGTAACTGCAAGGAATGATACATCAATGTAATTTTAATGTCAGGCTCTATCTTACACAACGCGCAAACAGAAGGAAAAATTACCTGCAAGCATAGTAGGTCACTAATTTCTCATCAGGAGGCATATTAAAGCGCTTGTGAAATTTGTATGAAGAGTCTTTGAAAGATTGGTCCTCGGCTGAAATTTGGAGAGTAACATTAGCATGACAAATGGCATGTGCCTAGACATAAAGTGCTGCTCATGCAGAGCACTTACCATCAACATCTTTTGTACCCGAAGAATCATTTACAACTAAGGATGATATTTTGCAGCATACATATTCTGTCACATCTTCATCACTTTCAATACGTGCTAGAGATGGTAGTAGGTTCTTTGTTAGCCATTCCCAATCTTCTTTAATATCAGTGGAACTCAATGCTTGAGCAACAACTTTAAAAGAAAGAAATAAACATTAGTTTAAAACATCAAACAAAATAAAGCTTACAGCATAGACTTGAAGAATTACCATGAAATACATCGGACGAAGGTGTTTTGTGCAAGATCCGATATGGAGGAGGCCGAGTGTCGAACATGCTATCCCATGTTCCAACGAGGTAAGATGATATACCAGTTGCTGGCCCATATCCCAGCCTCCGCTGCTTGAGGAAGTATTTGTTGGCATTTTCAGTAACCCTGGAAAAATTCAGAGGAACCAAAATAACATACAATCCAATTGCTGTAAATTGGGACACATCATGATACTAAACAATACAATCAAAATGCACGTTTTCAGTAAAATTAAAGTACCCCCCATAAATGCAGTTCAGGCACAAATTGAACGATGCAAGCTGACCTTGAAAGCCAGGGCCTAACAGTAAAACACTCAAAAAGGAGACACTGTGACAACTGTAAATGATTTCCCCACCAAGACAGCTCGTTCACATGCGAAATAACCTTCGCGAAATGAAGCGTTAAGTCAGGTCGGAAAGCCGTTCCGAACCAGGTTACAAGCAACAGCGTAAACATAGGGCTGAACTTACCACAGGGTATTGGCTAACAGCACCTCCTCAGGCTTCACCCACATTGTGTTTTGGTTGGGGCGACTCTGGAAGAACGTGCCTAGAATAGCACCCCGCCAAACAGTCTCGTTATCATTTTAACTGGCGGGTGCCAGGGGTGCCAGGAACGTTGTCAGTGCACACGCACACGCACCAAGACGCGTGCACTATCGTGTTGTGTTGATAACGCGCAACTTCGCCGTGGCCGCTACGCGCTCCGCGGGGAGTCTCGTCTCGCTCTCGCTCGGCCCTTCTTGTTGTGGTTTTCCTTGTTTGGGTTGGGCAGAGCGAAGGGGGCGTCCTTAAAGGGCCTGGATGATCTCATCAGCTGACAGTCGACCGCCCGCGACGGCACCACACTTTAATTCGCTTGCGCTTGCGTGACGCGAAAATGACACTCGCCAGCTGATTGCAAAGTGACAGCAGGAAGAACCAGTAAACTTCACTTGTTGTCAGCTTTCAGCTTTCTGCTCGCAAGTTCAAGTTCGCTCCCTTTTGCATTTCGGAGCGACCCACATTCGATCGACCGCAAGCTGCTACGAGGCTAGACCCTCACTGCAACTATGAGAAAGTTAGCCTCGCGTGCACAGTGCTGGGAAGCGCCGTGCGGGTAGACAACCCCTCATACACGACTGGCGCACGATTGCCTACCTGTCAGGCGATGAGGCCCGGCGAAAACAACATTGAATCCAGAACATTGAATGAAAAGCGTATCTAATCTACTCTCAGCCTCATTTAGCCTCTAAATATTTAGCCTCGTAGCCTCTACGGCAATTCAAATGTATCGCAGTACGCTTTCTGGGAAAAACGAAAACCCGTAAAGAAAACTGTAGGGAAACAAGGGAGAGAGAAACGCAGACGGCTTCATTTTCCATTTTATTTACAGTAAAAAGTCATAATTTTATTACTATAAATATCAGTTCGGTTTGTTATCTAAACTTATCAGTATATATAAGACGTAAGGTATAAGTTAAGCTCGGTGAATGGTAATAGCAGTATTTTTTATACAAAAGAAGAGTTGTAGACCAAGGAGGTGTGAAACCTGGTGAGACACAGCCTAAACGAAATTTCAGGTGACATCATGCGAGCTATGAAGACATTTTTCGCAATTCATTTTTCACGAACATCATTATTTACAACACTGGCGCAAAACGCGCTTTGTCAACAAAATAGTGAATATTTCTTACAGAGGTAAAGAAAAGGGAACGCTGAGCAAGAAGATTACAGTACATAGGATGTTATATTACTAGCATCACAGAGAAAGCTTTCTTTAAATAAGCTTGTTGCAACAGAGTTTATAAAACTACGTAAAATCACATGATCGGTTGTGCACGTCGGTGTACCCCTTTCGGATAAGTTAAACAGAAAGGTGACTGATTTAAGTACTAGAAAAACTTAGTCTATGGTGGTTATGTGCGCTATAATTGGAGGTTTGGTACATAACAGCACATACGCAGGCGCCTTTAACGACGATTTTGCTTTTTCATTTCGTTAAAATATGCGTTGTGACAAGCGACGCTCATCAAATTGAATCGTTCTTGACGCAGCCAGGAGAACTCCAGTTCTTGCGTTTCACACAGACACAGTGCTTAGGAGTGCTCGAACTTCACAAGACACCATAATAATAAAATTGTCTCTAATTGTTCGTAGTAAAACCACAGAATTGAAAGATTCGCGGAAACTTCGGAAACCGACTCAGAAGCTGGTTCCAGCACGTGGCACAAGTTTCGCAACAGCGGTGGGCGAGCGGAGCTCATTCTTTTGGTGCAAACCCAAACGGATTGCCTACACCATCACGACAGGACACCAGGATGACGTCAGCTGTCATTCGTCGATTTAAGTGCCAGAGGGACGATTGGTGGTTTTCATTTCGCATTTGTCTGCGTCCACACCAGAACCCGGCTAGTAGTCCAAGACGATGGAACATAAGCACCGCTCTTCGTTCATCTTCTTCTCTCTCTTTCTCTTGCAGTAATAAGGATGACCCTGTGTCTACTGTCTTTTAAAAAATATCACTCGAATGTGGTCGAATGGAGCAGCCGCAGGCGATGATGGCTGCAGGTCACACAATGATGGTCTTGAGGACAGCGAGGTTGGTCTGGTTGTACTTGGCCATGTCCAGGGGCGGCGAGGGAGCGTTCGCCTTGGTCTGCGTGTGCCACACGAGAACCTGCAGGAACGGAAAAGTGATGCGTCAGATCACAAGTTTGGGAGACGTTTTGCGCGACTGTGCGCGTTTTGCCGCCCACCTTGGTACAGTTGTCGGCCTTCAGTTCGATCTCCTTGGGCTCGAAGGGCGCCAGGCTGCGCAGGAAGCCGTCCTCCTCGAAGCCGGGCGAGTACGGCATCTGGGCTTTCGGCCGCTGGAAGGAAACAACAATGAAATGAAAAGGGAAGAAAAACGGGAGAGTGTTCCTTGCGGTGTTCCTTCAGTGCGGACGGTTGCAGGTGTGCAGGCGACTGGGCGGCGAATGGACAACCGGGCTGTTCGTGGAATACACTGCAGGGGGGACGGAGCGAGGACGGAGAATTCAAAACGGGCCGGGCGATGAAATGAATGTGACCCCCACACGTCTATGCACAATGCCGAGGCCGAGGGGGTGGGCCAGAAGGGGGTGCAAAGTGGTGTTGGTGGTGCCATCGCCAGCGAGAAACTCCCAAGTCCGAGTCTAATGAGAATTCAAGAGCGGTCCGCCATGGCGCGCCACTGGGAACCGAGAAAAACTACCCCACCCCCTTCCAGTTACTGTGCCTGGCCGGCCTGGCCATTAATACTGGTTCGGGCTGCCACGGCACTGGAAGGCCCTGCCCGGCCGGTCGAAGGGGAGCGCGGCATCGGCTTTGCTTCCGCTTCGGCTTCCGCTTCCATTCTGTTGCATCGTGACTCGGTGATTGGGACTACGGACTACGCACTGCCGAAACGAGATTGCACGAGCCATTTCTCTTTTGGCCCCTCTGCTCCCTTCCGCCCCTTTCGCCCCAGCCTGCAGACGGATTCCGAGGGTCGTTTTCGTCGCTCTGTCTCTCTCGCACTCACGCGGCGCTCCGTTCAGACGGAGCGACGAGAACGACTCTCGGAGTCTGCTGCCGTTTTGTGATGAATGGGGCGGCCGACGGCAGAGCAGGCCGACGCCAGCGCCGCCAAAGCGGAAGAATTGGGAACCAGCGGCGCAGCGGCGCAACACACCGCGCGTGTTTTGTACGCAGTCTCGCACGCTCCCGGCGGCGGCGGGTTTTCGGTAATCTACCCGTTTATGCAGTCTGAGAAAGAGTGGATCGAGTGGAGCTGTTCCCAACCTCGGCGGCGTCTCCGGCCGGGTCCCTGCTCCTTGGGGCAAGCCTTGGGGTTTGGGGTCAGACGCCGCGCCACGCCACGCCCTCCCGCTTACAGATTTTACACGAGCAAGAATTGATGACGGAATTATTCGGAACGGCTCCGTCTGATGCCTCCACTCCATTTTTCACAACTTGAGGGAGGAGGAAGGGGGGGGGGAGCTGCAGGGTTGTTAGGCGGCGCGGCCGGCGGCGGACGGGGTCCCATTTGCATGCAGACAGGAAATATCTGGGCAGCCCCGCACTGCCCCGCGCTGCCCTGCACCCCCTGCGGGGCCCACGTCCGCTGTGCCCCGAGCGGGCTCGCCCCGACCGCCCCTTCCAGACCCGGCCGGCCAGCCCTCTGCCACGCCATGCCCTGCCCTGCGCAGCGCCCCCCGGCCGAGGCCGAGGCCTACTTAACCTCGGCCAGCCCCACAACACAGGCCGGCGAAATGAAAACTTTAATATCAGCCGCCACCTCGGCGTCCTGGGTGCGGCTCCCGCTCACCTGGTGCAGGAACTGCACGCTGACGGCGAAGCCCGCCATGTCGACGGGGAACTTGCGGCCGCCGATCCAGCCGTCGTGGAAGCCCACGAAGGCCCCCGTGGCCGTGGACACGACCGGAGTCGACAGCCCGGCCTTGGTGCACAGCCCCACGGGCCACATGGAGACCCTCTTGGTGGTGCGGATCTGCAGTCAGACGGCGACATTGGAGGTTACCAACATGTCACGGGAAAATTTTGCACAGTGGGCCAGTTGATCGGTGGAGGCGGCAAAAATTCTAGACACGTTTTGAGCTCCAGGGTCGCTAAGGGATTCGAACCGGACGTGTGACCCCACCAATGGATTGCTCTCCGAACGAGGAATCCATTGGTGGGGTCACACGTTCGGTTCGAGTCCTTTTTAGCGACCCTGGAGCTCAAAACGCGTCCGGAATTTTGACCGCCTCCACCGGTCTTCTGGCCCACTGTGTTTCGGCCCCACTTCAATTTTCGGTGCGGTCGTCCTCGCGCATAGCTGTCATATCTCAAGCTGTTTGCGAGACACAGAAATAACGTAACGCCAATTGCCAAAGTAAAATGATAGCGCGCCATGCCGGTTATGCGCGAACGTGACGTAGTGAGACAACGTCGCGCTGAAACAGAAGCACCGCGTTGTCAAGGTGGCTAAGGACACGCTGCGCGGCACGCTGCCAGTGGAGTGCTTCCACCGCGTTCCGCCGACGCCTTTACGTCAGGACGTCAGGCCACTAATCCTTAAGCCGCGGCCAAACAGGGCGCCGCTGCGCCGCAGCGCCGCAGCGCACAACAAAGAAGTGAGTGTGTTCGCCTCGATCTGCACTCTGAAAACTCAGAGGTGAGAAATGGAGCCACCCTGGGGCTGGGGGTGAGAAAAAAAAATGCTCAACTCCAGAGCGGTGAGAATCAGAAAGTTTGCCCTCGTTATATATAGGATGGCAGAACAAATCATGTCCAAAATGAGGTAAAAATCTTGCTACTAAATGGCGGTGAGATTTCTCGCGTCATATTCCTCACCCTCCAGTCTTCAGAACAATCTGGTCTCCTGGCGCTTCTGGCTGCAGCAGCAGCACGGCACTCACCTCCTCGAAGATGGACACGTCGTACGTGTTGTCGTCGTCGGCGAAGTAGAAGACGCCCTCCCTGGCGTTGGCGCGCAGCCACTGCAGCCCCCGGTTCCTCTGCGCCACGCCCTTGGGCTTGGGGCCCTTCTTCTTGCGGTACTGCTCCGGCATGGCCGCTGCGGCACAGAAACAAAACAAGGCGTCAAAGTCGAGCAAAAGCCCCAGGTATTGCCTCGGAGGCAGACAGGTTGAGGATGGCGATACACAGTGGGCCAGAAGACCGGTGCAGGCGGCAAAAACTCGAGACGCGTCTTGAGCTCCAGAGTCGCTAAACGGGCCTCGAACCGAACGTGTGACCCCACCAACGGAACGAGGAATCCATTGGTGCGATCCTTTCAGCTGGGGCGCGTCGTGGGAGTTTTCGCCGCTGTCGACGACACTGTATGGGGCACCCGTTATGGCGGTCGTTTGGTGACGCGGGTAGACGTTTTTTTTGTGCCGAGTCACGCGGTGTGTTGCAAAGCCTCCGCGTTTTGCTCCCGCGGGAGGTGTGACATAGACACAACACACACACACACACACACACACACACACACACACACACACACACACACACACACACACACACACTAAGGGCCAGGCCATTCCGAGTCACAATGGCGGGCAGCAATTAAAGATGATTGTTTCGTCGATTCGAGGTGACTGACGCTGGGGACGCGAGGACGGCGGCGTCGATGCGGCTCGTCCGCTCGTCCTTGGTGGGCTCCAGAGCGCCGTGGGGGTAGGCAACCCGAACGCCGCCGTGCGGTGTAGCAGTCGGGTTGCCTAGGTCGCGCCTGCAGAGCGCCGTGAGGGTAGGCAACCCAAGCGCTGTCGTGCGCTGCACAGCTCCGGGCTCATCCTCCGTGTGCGGCTCGCGGTTCTTCCTCGTCTATTGTTAGCGTCGTTGTCAGACGCAGACAGCCGCCGTTGGCGAGGCCACGTGGCGGCCACGTGACCCTGTGACGACGGCTTTTCGCGGACAACGACGGCTGTCGATGAAGTGTCACAGCAGGTTGATGCTGAGTGCTGCTGTCGGGGCATCCACCTCTCTCGCACTCATGGGGTAGAGAGAGACAGAGCGACGAAAGCGGCGCTCGGAATCAGTCTGCAGCAACACGAGAGCGAGGCGACGGCGAGCGTCCCCAGCGGCGTCCCCGCGACGCGCACCTCGCTGAGATTAAAGCCTCATGCCTTTCTCCTGGCTCCAACCCCTTTCTCCACCCCCTGCCCCTGCCCGTCCGCCAAACCCGACCGCCACTAACGCATTCCCACCACCCGGCCCGACCCGGCCCGACCCGGCCCGCCCGCGCGGCCGGCTTCCTCGGCAACAGCCCCGCGGCACGCGATGTTCAGGGCCCCGCAGGGGGCACGGCGGCACGGCGGCCCCGCCGGTGGGTACCTCGAGTACGACCGTGGCGGGGCGGGGTGGGGCGGGGTGGGGCGGGGTGGGGCGGGGTGGGGCGGGGTGGGGCGGGGTGGGCCGATGTGTCCCAGGCGATAACGCTGTCGGCTGGTGCCCCGCCACGCCACGCCACGCCACGCTGCACGCCGCGATGGAGGAGGGACACGCGGCCTGCGTGCATCGCACGGCAACGCTCGCGTGACGTCACGCGGCGAGGGGGCGGCCGCGGTGGCTTTGGGTTCACTCCATGATTTTTGCCGGTCGGGTCGATGCGTTCGTCGGCCGAGTGCCTATCAAGGACTCGGCCGGGACCCTCGGTGCTAACAGGCGCTGGGCGAATCTGACCCCCTTCCGGCCGGCCTGGGCAGGTCGTGCCGGGCACAGGTCTGCGCGCCGCCCGGCCTGCGCTGCTCGGGTTTTATGACAGGAAAGTCCGAGCAGTGGATAAATCGGTCCCCCAACAGGTGCGCCGGTTTCCAGGCCTCGCTCCGCCTCGCCCTGTCATTGTGCTGGCAGTGTGCTAGCCACGGCGGCCTCGGCTATTTATTTACCCTCTCCTAGGTGCCGCTACCCTGCAGTGCGGGCGAGACAGACAGACAGACAGACAGACAGACAGACAGACAGACAGACAGACAGACAGACAGACTCACCGGTGAGGTGCTCGTAGGGGAGGCCGAAGCGCTGCAGCAGCTTGGCCACGGGCTTGGAGGGGGCCTTGGCGTCCTCGATGACGATCCAGCGCACGTTTCGCACGAGCAGCAGCGTCTGCGCCATCCTGGTGAGCTCGGCCTCCTGCTCGGGCCGGCGGTAGGTGGGCGTCACGACGTAGAGCGTGGCCACGCCGGGCCAGGGCAGCGCGCGGCCCGGCAGGAAGGTGGGGTCCCACACGGGGCAGTCGCACTGGAACTGGAAGTCGGAAACGGAGAGTGGGTTGACTGTCCACAGTGGGCCAGATGACCAGTGGAGGCGGCCAAAACTCTAGACGCGTTTTGAGCTCCAGAGTCCCCTGGCGGTGCGAGAGAGACAGCGCGACGAAAACGACTCTCGGAATCAGTCTGCAGCACCGCCTCCCCGCCGCGCGCCGCGCGTGTTCTTGCTCTTCCGGCAGTTGATAGCGAAGCCTCATGGCGGCCCGGCCCGGCCCGCCAGCCCCAGTGGGAGCGCGGTGGCCGACCCACCATGGTCCATGGCCCACCGCGGTCCCACCAGGGTCCCGCAGTACCACAAGTCACGAGAAGACGCGGCGGGGCGGGGCGGGGCGGGGCGAGGCGGCCGCAACTTGGCCGGAGTCACTTGCTAGTTTGTTGCGGCACGTTGACACCAGCCACACCAGCGGCGCCACCAAGACTACCCCGACGCGGTGGCGTCGGTCGCGGAGCATCGTGGGGCTCAAAGTTTGGCGGGCAGCCCGGCAGCGTTCAAAGGCCGAAGGGTGCGCGTCGCCCCGCGCGTTCAAAGGCCGGCCGTGCCGGGGCCGTGGCGAGCATGCCGGGCTCTGCCGGATGCCGGATTGACTGGCGTGGATTTATTGCCGCGGTAAAATCAGGAGGAGCGCCTGCCCCGAGTCTCGCGGTCTCGCCGAACAACGGCATGATTTATGCGGCCGCGTTGTTGTTTTTAGACCGACGGCTTGCAGGCCGCAGCAACGCAGCGCGGGGTGGAACTCCCCCTCCCCCACTCACCTGGATGTCCTGGCTGGGCGCGGTGGGCAGCTGCAGCTGGTTGGCCACCTCCCTGAGCAGGCGCGCCCCCACGCCCGCGGCCATCATGTTGTTGAGCGCCAGCCGCTCCACCGAGTTGCGCACGGCCTCCTCCAAGGCGTCCAGCGTGACGGTGGTGGTGGCGGAGGCCTGCGTCGGCGCCGCGGTGACGGCGCGCTGCAGCTCATTGCTCGCGTCCACGGCGGCCAGCCCCCGGCCCGCCGCGCCGCCGCCGACGGCCGCGACGGGCGCCGACACCGCCCCGCCCGCGGGGACGCCGGCGAGCCACGACGACGACACGTGGTACTGGGCCAGCACCAGGAGCGCGGCCGCGCACATCAAGAGCCACATCCTGCGCGCTTGGAGCTGCGGACGAGGAGGAACGGTTACTCGGCTGTAGAACCCACACGGCGGCCCCGGCCGGCCGCCACTCACCTTGGTGACGCTGCAGCAGGACCAGCCGCCCTGGCCCGCGGCCTTGGCGGCCTTGGCGGCCTTGGCGCCGGCAGGGTGGGTGGGCGCTCCCGCCGTCACCATCTGCGCCCGCGACCCGTGGCGTGGTGCATCCGAGCGCGCCGTTGCAGCCGGAGGACGGCGGTTCGAATACCATTCGCAGCCGCTAGGCGTCTAGCGCGCCGGGCTCGGCCGTCCTGGAGGGACAAGGACGACAAGACGCTGCATTATTAATCCGGAAGGCACTCCAGCTACGCGCTCCAGCCACGCGCTCGGAGGCGCTCCAGCTGTCGACAATCCTGGAACTGTTAGCGAGCCAATCAGAGCGACGGGTTCGCAGGACAGTTGGAGATGGCGGGCGGACCTCTCCGCTACGCCCCGCCCCGTTGGCAAACTCCCCCCCCCCCCAACTTCGTCCGTCTGTCTCTGCCTCTTTGCTTACTAAAACAACGGCACTGTAAGCGGTAGACAAACACGCCGCCCGGGCCAAGTGTGCCTCGGCCTGCCCCGGCCTGCCGTGCAGTATTCAGTTCGCCCGACCCTTCCCCCCCCCCCCCCCCTCTCGCCCTGGATCCGCCAAACTCCCCCGAGCTCCGAACCTGCGCGTCGAGAAAGACACTCCACTCCATCCTCGCGATCCTCGTGCTGCACTACGTCCCCCCCCCCCCCCCCCGGCACTCTTCACCGCCGGTGGAAGAGAGTACAGAAGAAGTACGGAAATGGTCAATAATTTATCCCGCGCGTCCGTACATCACCAACTCCGGAAGTCCCACTCGCTCTGCAAACTCAAGTGTACAGGGTTGACTCTTTTAAAAAGTCGTGCTGAAGTACTAAAGCACGACATTTTTCACAGTGTGTCTGCCCCGCACCATAGAGGGCCAGGAGACCGGTGGAGGCGGTCTAAACCCCGGGCGCGTTTGGAGCTCCAGAGTGGCTTGGGACTCGAACCGGACGTGGTGACCCCACCTATGGATTCCTCGTTCGGAGAGGAATCCATTGGTGGGGTCACACGTTCGGTTCGAGTCCTGTTTAGCCACTCTGGAGCTCAAAACGCGTCCGTAATTTCGACCGCCTCCACCGGACTTTTGGCTGTATCAGTCGTCCCACCCTGCGCCAGCCGCCACCGTCACAATGCTCATCCACTCTGCTTTCGAGGCCCAGTCTGTCGGTTGGTCGGTGGAGCGGAGGGCCATATGACTGCGGGGCGAATGCCCACCTGCCACTGATTGTACACAGATATTGGCTGTCCTTGTCCTTTACCGTGACTCCCCCCCCCTTCCCCCTCCCCCCCTCCTCCCCCCTTCCGCTCCGACTGCAGACTTATCGCAATGGCGCATCCCTCTATCCTTTTGATAGCAAGGTCCTAGTTATCAGTTCGAACGGGGCCGCCGGAAGTACCTCGTTTTCGAGGATAGAGGGGCGAAAACTAGATGAGCCATCCAAGCGGATGCGTTTATTTACACGGGTCGACTCTATGACTGTGCACACCTACACGGCGGAGGACACGCGCTACTTTCTTTCGCGATGACACAACAAGACTCAAACACATTAAAAAAAACATATAGGTAATTAAAAATTAAAAAAAAATCAGCTGAAAAAAATTGTTTTTCCTGAATTTTTTTACGAGTGCGACCCAGCATGAATGTGGCGCGAGGGCCGTGCGGTGTACGGTGAGTCGATTAGTCACTGTACGCAGTGGGGAACGAGCCCCCCCCCCAAACCCCCCGACGGCCCGGCCCTACTTTCAGCCCTTATTACCGCCTTTTGCCCGTCCCCGCCCCCTTCCCGCTGAATCCTTCCCTCAAGAGATATAGTCCTGAACGCGTTCCAAACGCTGCGGGCGAGACTGGCGTCGGCGCTACCCTCCCCCCTCTCTCTCTCTCCCCCTTTCTGACTCATTCATTCGTCCTTGTTCCATTCATCCGCCCCGCCCCGTCTCTTCCATTGAGTCTAAGCCCTTCTTTTTTTCTTGCCCGCTGCGCCGACACCGCACGGCCTCCGCGGCCCCCACGGCCCCCCACGGACCCGCAGCGTCAGAGGTGGCTACTGGGAATCATTCCGAAAGGTGTGCTTCGTCGCTCTGTCTCCCTCGCACCCCTACGGGACGCCCCACGCGTGCGAGAGAGACAGAGCGAGGCCGCCCGCTGTACCGAGCTGGCGCGGCTGGCGCCTGGCTGTTCACAGGCGGCTTTGCCTCGTGTTATGTTAGAGACCCGGCTCAGCCTCCGGCACTTTTATTTTATCTCGCTCTCGCCCCGTCTCGCCCCCGACCCCTGAGGCTCCTTTCTCTTTCTCTCTCTCTCTTCGTTTCCCACCTGCCTTTTATCTGCAATCGAATGCGCGAACGCAAAGCGGAGCGGAGCGGAAGCCGCGGGGAAGTTTTCGGCGGGTTCATGCCTTGCTGAAAGGCAATCTAACTTGGCCGCCTATGGTTCTTAAAAACAAAAAAGAAAAAAAACATGAGAAAACTGAAAAGCTGGGCCCAATTGTAGCTTCGCCCGTCCAGCACTGAGGCACGGCTACATCGTCTAGAACCCCGCGAAGATTGAATCTCAGAAAAAGCCTGAAACTGTCACTTCTAGTGTCCTGTATTCGCCAAAACTTCTTGAAATCAATTCAACCCAACCCCTCGCAACCACCAGAGGTGGCATCGTTGCCTCTACCAAAATTGCCTCTACTAATAAATCTGTATATATCTAGAAAAAGATAACCTCGCTGTTTGACACTGGCCCGGCCTCGCTGTTTGACGCTGGCACAGCCTCGCTGTTTGACGCTGGCACAGCCTCGCTGTGTGAGGCTGGCACAGCCTCGCTGTTTGACGCTGGCACAGCCTCGCTGTGTGAGGCTGGCACAGCCTCGCTGTGTGAGGCTGGCACAGCCTCGCTGTTTGACGGTGGCACAGCCTCGCTGTGTGAGGCTGGCACAGCCTCGCTGTTTGACGCTCGCACAGCCTCGCTGTTTGACGCTGGCACAGCCTCGCTGTTTGACGCTGGCACAGCCTCGCTGTTTGACGCTGGCACAGCCTCGCTGTGTGAGGCTGACACAGCCTCGCTGTGTGAGGCTGGCACAGCCTCGCTGTGTGAGGCTGGCACAGCCTCGTTGTTTGACGCTGGCACAGCCTCGCTGTTTGACGCTGGCACAGCCTCGCTGTTTGACGCTGGCACAGCCTCGCTGTTTGACGCTGGCACAGCCTCGCTGTGTGAGGCTGGCACAGCCTCGCTGTTTGACGCTGGCACAGCCTCGCTGTTTGACGCTGGCACAGCCTCGCTGTTTGACGCTGGCACAGCCTCGCTGTTTGACGCTGGCACAGCCTCGCTGTTTGACGCTGGCACAGCCTCGCTGTTTGACGCTGGCACAGCCTCGCTGTGTGACGCTGGCACAGCCTCGCTGTTTGACGCTGGCACAGCTCGCTGTTTGACGCTGGCACAGCCTCGCTGTGTGAGGCTGGCACAGCCTCGCTTTTGACGCTGGCACAGCCTCGCTGTTTGACGCTGGCACAGCCTCGCTGTGTGAGGCTGGCACAGCCTCGCTGTTTGACGCTGGCACAGCCTCGCTGTTTGACGCTGGCACAGCCTCGCTGTTTGACGGTGGCACAGCCTCGCTGTGTGAGGCTGGCACAGCCTCGCTGTTTGACGCTCGCACAGCCTCGCTGTTTGACGCTGGCACAGCCTCGCTGTTTGACGCTGGCACAGCCTCGCTGTTTGACGCTGGCACAGCCTCGCTGTGTGAGGCTGACACAGCCTCGCTGTGTGAGGCTGGCACAGCATCGCTGTTTGACGCTGGCACAGCCTCGCTGTTTGACGCTGGTACAGCCTCCCTGTTTGACGCTGGCACAGCCTCGCTGTTTGACGCTGGCACAGCCTCGCTGTTTGACGCTGGCACGCTCGCTGTTTGACGCTGGCACAGCCTCGCTGTGTGAGGCTGGCACGCCTCTCTGTGTGAGGCTGGCACAGCCTCGCTGTTTGAGGCTGGCACAGCCTCGTTGTTTGACGCTGGCACAGCCTCGCATTTTGACGCTGGCACAGCCTCGTTGTTTGACGCTGGCACAGCCTCGCTGTTTGAGGCTGGCACAGCCTCGTTGTTTGACGCTGGCACAGCCTCGCATTTTGACGCTGGCACAGCCTCGTTGTTTGACGCTGGCACAGCCCGCTGTTTGACGCTGGCACAGCCTCGCTGTTTGACGCTGGCACAGCCTCGCTGTGTGAGGCTGACACAGCCTCGCTGTGTGAGGCTGGCACAGCCTCGCTGTTTTACGCTGGCACAGCCCTCGCTGTTGACGCTGGCACAGCCTCCCTGTTTGACGCTGGCACAGCCTCGCTGTTTGACGCTGGCACAGCCTCGCTGTTTTACGCTGGCACAGCCTCGCTGTGTGAGGCTGGCACAGCTCTCTGTGTGAGGCTGGCACAGCCTCGCTGTTTGACGCTGGCATGCCTCGCTGTTTGACGCTGCACAGCCTCGCTGTGTGAGGCTGGCACAGCCTCGCTGTGTGAGGCAGGCACAGCCTCGCTGTTTGACGCTGGCACAGCCTCGCTGTTTGACTCTGGCACAGCCTCGCTGTTTGACGCTGGCACAGCCTCGCTGTTTGACGCTGGCACAGCCTCGCTGATTGACGCTGGCACAGCCTCGCTGTTTGACGCTGGCACAGCCTCGCTGTGTGAGGCTGGCACAGCCTCGCTGTGTGAGGCAGGCACAGCCTCGCTGTTTGACGCTGGCACAGCCTCGCTGTTTGACGCTG